CTAGTTAGATCTGGACAATGAGCTGGGAGAACTTTCATGTAAGATAGCACTAGTTTAACATGGTCATGCTTCTGTGAAGTTATAGTTTCATTTCACGTTTCAAATCTCTTGATGTTTAATTTATCTTTTCTTTGGCTTTTCCCTACCAGATACATACTGTTGTCTCTGCACCAATGTGCTTCCTGAGGTGCTGCTGTTTCTTTGTCAGTGTTTAACTCTTTGTGGTGATATCCAGTTAATGCTTGCCCAGAATGCAAGTAACAGAGCTGCATATCTTGAAGAATATAACTACCAAACAAAAGAAGATCAGGAAATACTGCACAGCCTTAATAGAGAATCCAACTGTCAAGGTATATTATTGAAGTAATGTATATGGATAAATTACTGTGGTTCCCAGTGGCTGATCTTAATTTTAAGGAGTTTTGTTGGATCCTGGCAAACCAGTCTAGTATATTCCTCTTGGGGTGGGTTTCATGGTGCTGATTTATTGCGTCTTAAAGAAAAAGCAGAGTATAGAAACTGAATTGATCCCTTTTAAGGAAGGCTGCCTTCTAGGAGATCTTTATTATACTTCTAAATGTACCTGTTAAATGTTTGTTTTGGGGGGGGGGGTTGTTTTTTTTTAAAGTAATAACTAAATTCTGTCATTTCTTAGGCTCTATAGCACCCTTTTATTATAAGTGCCAAGACAGTCATGTTTTCAAACCTTATTATTAAACTTTTCACTGTTACTTGAATGGATTCATAATTTTTTGGGGGGGGAAATACTCAATTGACACTTCTTTATGCTTTGTTTCCAGTATTTGCTTGGGCTACTGACTTATCTACAGACTTAGAATGCCAGCTTTCAGTTAGCTGCAAATGCTATGAGGCAGCTAATGAAATTTTGCTTTTTAGTAACTTAAAAAAACAAAATGCAGAGCAGCATACACAAGTACTGAAGAGACTGGGAAATATCAGAAACGAAATTGGAGTGTTTTACATGAACCAGGCAGCAGCAGTACAGACTGAGAGAGTGGGCAAGTATTATTGTATTTATTTTTTTAAAGATGGTTTTTTACCTCTAGTAATTTATTTGATGTAGAATTCTGAATAAAATAGTGGAATGGCAATTATCTTCATAAATAACATTGGAAAGATACCCCTTGAGATTTTTTGTTGTTGTTTAATTCTTTTATTTGTTGTTGTTGTTGTTTCCATTATAAACACTGGTTCTCTGGGCATTGTGATTTACATGTAAACATAGAAGTCTGATACGTGGAAAATTAGTGTTGGAGAAAATCTTCAAAGTAGCTGTAATTACCTGAAAAAAGTAATGGAGCATTAACACAACTCTTAACAAAAACAGTTGTTGCTTTTCTTATTAGGCCCTCATCCTTCACAGACTGTTCTTCCCTTTTGTGCAGTGCAAATAGCCATAGTGAACTCACTAAAACTATGCCCTGTGCCCAGAACGACATGCTGTTAGCATTTTTGTGGGTCTTGCTTTTATTTTTTATTTTGTGCATGCATGCATGTGTGTGCACATGCATGTGTAAGCCTCAGTGGAAATGACTCGATTGAAGTTTTCTTTCCTGAAAGAAGAATGCTATTTGCAAAACAAATACAGATTTAAGGAAAATCATTATTTAAAAAAACCCAAACCAAAACATAAAACAAACAGCACTAGTTCTCTAAGCTTGCATGAGTCCTATGCTTTCCGGATACTCTCTAAATAATTTGCGTGTACTTGGGAGATTTTATTTTTTTTGTGACTCTTTCCTTATTTTATTATAGACTTCTTTGCCCAATTATTAGCCTTGTATATGCTGCCCTTCCCAAAAATGCTAACTTTTGAGAATGAATTTTTATAATTTCCATTTTTAGCAAAATAAGAGCTGTAGCTGAAATTGAACTTAACGTTAATTTTTAAGCAACTGGTTGTTAAATCATTTACCTATTTGTTAACTCCTGGTAAAACAAATGTTGCATCAGATGTTAATATGCCTATAATAGGCAATAGAACTGGTATCTTGGATCCTTGAAATTGCTGGACACTTCTTTAATTATTATCTTACCACCACCCTAAGTTTTGTGGGGGTTGTTTGTTTGATTTTTTTTTTTTTTTTTAACTTCATATCATCACAAGACATTAAACGGATTCACCAGTATAACATGAAGCATGCAGAGTCAACTGGCATATTCAGAATCTATTCCTGCTTTATAAGCCTAATCACAAATTTATTTCTATAACTACTAGTCAGGGGAAGGTATTTTTTTTTCTTTATTCTAAGAAGGGTTGAGTGCTTGAGAGATTACATCTTTAAATTTGCGCAATAGTCTTTGCCCATGTCTATGCAGTTACTTAGCCAGCTCAGATAGTGCTGCCCCTTAAGTCACACTGCTCTGGCAAGCCTCATTCCAAACTGATAGTGTTACAGCACCATGGATGGGCTAATTGGCAGTCATTCAGCAATGCTAAGTAGCCTGCCTGAATTGCCATGAGGCCACAGCTATCCTGCTCCTATTTTTGGGGAGGAAGCTTGTCCAGGACCTCATGGCATATTCAGGTGTGCTGCTTCTGATGTCAGAAGCTTGCTAATGTAGATGTGACTTCATATTCCAGAACAACATCTAGTGGAACAGCATAAGAAGAGTTATTTGGTAGAGATGTTGGCAGGAAATCTTTAAGAAACTTGACTGGAATTGTAAGATTGCTTTTTATTTTGATCTAGTGAGCAAAAGTGTATCTGCAACAGAGCAGCAACTGTGGAAGAAGAGTTTCTCTTGCTTTGAAAAAGGCATCCAGAATTTTGAATCAATTGATGATGCAACCAATGCTGCTCTTCTGTTGTGTAATACAGGAAGATTGATGAGAATTTGTGCTCAAGCCCACTGTGCTGCTGGAGAAGATTTCAAGCGAGAATTTTCCCCGGAAGAGGCCCTTTATTATAACAAGGTAACAAGCCTGTCAACCAGGTTGAAATTCCTCTCTTGAAGGAATGGGCCTGTGAGGCTTACACACACAAGTATAAGGAGACTCCAGATAAGGACTGACTTCTAGGTACTTTTAAATGGCAGAAGTTATGACTACTACAGTTGTAGCCTAAATGTAGTAATAGAAGTATTTTGTAGTGTTGTGAATTTGTATTTAAGTTAGTTGAAAATGAACAGGAACAGTAAAGCTGGTTGTTAAAAAAAACAGAACAAAACAAAAAACCTAAAAAACCTCCAGATGAAGAAAATTAAGTTCTGTCAGGTACTAAAGGTAGTATTACACCATGGCTTAATTTTACTACTTTCTCTGCCTCTTTCCCCTCCAAAAGATAAATCACTCAGGCAGCTTGCAGATGTTAAAAAGCAAAAAAGGGTACGTTATTTAAAACTCGACATGCTCCTGCGCCAAGCCTAGCACATGTCCAGAGAGGGAAGCATGTTAGTTGGATCTGGCTAGCCTGACATTCATAAGGACTGGGAGCTTTAGTGGGGCACTTTAATAGCTGATTGAATCAACTTTAGCTAAAAGTGCCAAAAAGCCTCGCTGAAGTGCCTGTTCTATACAGATGCTGTGGAGTCGGGTCCAAGTAATGTGCTGCTGCTTCTGGTAAAGTGCTTTTTCTTTTGCTCTTTTTCTTTTTTAATGTCTGCAAGCAGCCACAGGTGTCCACACAAACCAAGACTGTGCAAGCAGGTGATTTGTATAAGTGAGTGCATATGCATAACTAACAATTTCATTACACATGCAGATTAAGTAAGAAATGGCATGTTTGAGTTTAGACTGGCAGGTGCCATATTCATTAGTAAGGCCTTATCTATGTCAACCTATCAGAAATCATTTTGAAGATGGCTTAATCTTCTATTATATCACTTGTATCTAAGTAAACTTGAAGCTTCTCTGTGTTGAAAATGCCTAGTAATAGTCTTTTTAAAACAGAATTATAAAATGAAGCATAGTATATAAAATGTGGTGCATGTAAAACATAATTATTACAAATGTTCAGCCATTGCTGGTTTTGACTTACAAAACTGGAAGGGTTTGTATTGCAATATCCTTTTGTGAAAGCTTTTGGACTGTTACTTTCCCAGCCCTGGTGCTGTTATTAGTTTTAGCGTATATGTTAAATTCATATTATATTTAACTTGAAAACTCTAAACATTCTTTTGTATCACTTATCTGAGAACCATATAATTTTTTATTTTAAATATTTTAAAATTGAATCTTCTGATCTAGCTTTAAAGTGTTCCTTCTTTAAGAGTTTAGGACCTCAGTGAAGAGAGGAAAAACTTTAAACATGCCTGATAAAAATACTAGTATAACACTGGAATTTAAAGGAGACTGTTGTTGTTGGGGTTTTTTTTGTGTTTTTTTTTTAATTTTGCACCATTCATTTAATGACTGGTCAGATAGGGGAAGCAGGGGACTCCTTAATCTATTCCATCCCATTGAGGCCTGATTGGTAAGGCCTCAGAAAGAGAAATAATTTGCATGCAAGTGGTGTACCTGTCATTCACAAGGATCCCCAAGGCTTCATAAAGCATATGGAAGGCCACTGCAATGAAGTGGAATTTGTCATGATTCTCTGCAGTAGTTGAGGAAGTTGGGACAATTTTGAATTTGGACCAGTTTACTGGGAGCACACTCTACTCCCAACCCTTATCAAAAGAACTATAAGAACTCAGTACCTGGACTGAATGAACAGGCCCTCCATTTGTGAGGGTTGGGGCAAGAATGCTTTTAGAAACTTTTGAGTGATCAGGATAGACCTGAATGGTTTAGTTTGTGGTGCAGGGTCAAAGTTCGTGGTTGCTTTTAGTGATTTGTTTTAGAGTAAGACTTCTGGGTGTACAGGAAAACTGGATGAGACCTGGCTAGTGAGTCTCCAGAATATACTGTCAGCCTGACGATTTGTAAGGGCCAGCTGCTTTGTGCTGTACAGATGCATTTTGAACCCTGCTTCCAGGATTGAATGGACTGTCTTGCACAAAGCTTTTCCTTTTGAGTAGGAGAGGAGGATCTCAGCCTTACTGTTTAATTTTGAGTCCAGTCCTATGCCTACATGCTAACATGCCTTTTTCTTTTTCCCCCTCTGAATTTAAAATCTTGAATTCTGTACCTGCATATAGTACTGCTAGTTTTCAATAGAAGATAGAAAATTGAATGTGAGGAAATTGCTGAGAGGTCCAGATGAGCTCTGTAGCAGAATGAGTACAGAATCTGTCATTGTTTATTATAAACCTGTCTAAATAACCAGCAGTTTTATTGTATATCTATGTTATAGGCGATTGATTACTATCTGAAGGCTTTAAGATCTCTAGGGAAGAGAGAGGTGCATCCAGCAGTTTGGGATTCTGTGAATTGGGAACTCTCTACCACCTATTTTACCATGGCAACTTTGCAGCAGGATTATGCTCCGTTATCTAGAAAGGCCCAGGAACAGGTAATGAAAAGAGGATTTCTGATTACATCTGTTAAAAGCAAGCCATTCTTGTAGTTTTTCATGAAGACTGAGCAGCATAGTAAAGAACTCCTGCTGTTAACTGTAGCACTTACATAATTTGCAATTCTTTATTGTATAAAAGAACTGTTGTAGAGCAGCTACTGCCAACAGAATGATAGGGCACATTAAAAGCTGCAAACTAACTTTTATTATCTACTCTTATGGGTATTGTTTTTTCTTTAGTAGAAGCCAGAGTGCCACAAATACCCCCCACTCATTTCTTTTTGTATTGGGTCTTCTTTCAAAGTAAACTTTGACATTACTTCATGAAGTCTTTTTGTTTATAGATAGAGAAGGAAGTTAGTGAGGCCATGATGAAATCTCTGAAATATTGTGATGTTGATACAGCGTCTGCACGACAGCCCCTCTGCCAGTATCGGGCTGCAACCATTCACCACAGACTGGCTTCCATGTATCATAGTTGCTTGAGAAACCAGGTATTAGTTTAAAACATTGCCTTGTGTATTTGCTGGAGAGGGAGAGATTAAAAATGGCTATATGTGTAAATGCACATATAGTGTGTATGCATGGTTATATGTATAAATATATTCTTTATTATAAATGGAAGTAGACTTTTGTTTGCAAATCTAACATGAAATTTCTGGAGTGCAAAGTGAGGAAGCTGTTCATCTGTTGTCTTATTAGCACCTAATTGGGGCCCAACTTTGGTTGTGGTCTCTAGATGCTGCCATGATATAACTAATTGATGATAAATACATTTTTTTTTTTTTTTTTTTTTAAACAAACATACTCTTCCCCCACCTTGCTTCTCTTATAGTGTTTTTGCTGAAGGTCTATACTTTATAATACTTTAATAATGGAGGTTGTGTTGCTTTCAACTTGTTTAAATGTTGCTTAGAAGAAGCCTTTTTTCTTTTTAACATCGTTTTGCTGTTGCTGTGCATGATTAATTGCTTAAAACCACACGCTATAACTACATGTTTTAGCTATGCAACTATACTTGGGGGGTGGAAAAGAAAAAGTAATACAAGGTGACACATCTTAAAGTTCTATTTAACAGAATAGTTATTGGAATAAGGGCACTCACTGGTTGAATCCCATCACCAGTAGGCAGTGTTTTTGCTCTTTTTTTTGCCTGAATCCTAACGCTGATAGCTTCCATGAAACTGTCTTTGTAATTTTGGTTTCAGGTTGGTGATGAGCATTTAAGGAAACAGCATAGGATATTAGTTGACCTTCATTATAATAAAGCAGTAAAGCTTTTTCAACTCCTAAAGGATGCACCCTGCGAGCTCCTTCGTGTGCAATTGGAAAGAGTAGCTTTTGCAGAGTTCCAGATGGCAAGTAAGTTGGGTTACAGAAAGATTCTTTGGAGGAGATGACTACAGAGCAAGATGATTACTGATGGATGTCCTGGCCATTTTCTTGGAGCAAGAATGATATTGCACTATTCTGGGTCATGACTATGCTGTGAGGTACTGGGGTTCAGTGAAATGTGGTAATGCAGAGTTCATGTAAGACTTTGGAATCTTTAGAGTCATGTAGTCTTTCATCCACAGTGTAACCTGTTCTTATATTTTTAGGTCAAAATAGTAGTGCTGGAAAGCTAAAGACTTTATCTGGGGCTCTAGATATAATGATAAAGACCAAATGTGCGTTCCAGCTGATCAAAAAGGAAATCGCAGCTGAATGTGACCAGGTAGGCAAGGAAAAAAGATCTCATGTAAACTGCAAGACAGATCATAATCAGTCGCACCAACTCAGTTGACCATAAAACATTGTTTGTTTGTGATTTATACATGATAATGGACCTATTTATTCTTTGAAACCTTAGCTTAATATTTAAAAGTATCATAATTTATTCCTAGGTGGCTAAGTTCATTTACTTCAATGGGACTAGATGAGCATATATGTGCTGGAATACCTTTCTGACTGGCACTGACTGTTCTATAGGCACAGAGGCCAGGGGCAAGTCAAAAGTGTCAGGATTTTCTTCTTTTGGGCTAGGTTCATTTTAGAGTTGTCTCTGTCAAAAGTTCTCTTCCAGCCATGCCAGTGTCATGGTATACCCAGTAGAAATGAAAGTCTATTTTTATTGTTTCAACATTTTAATGTACTCATGTTTTTATATTCACTTCTTCCATGATACTCTAAGATACGTTTATAAGACAACTTTTTAATGCAGTGCTATATTGCAATTACAAGTTCTCTGAAATTTTTGAGCATACATGTACATATCTTTTGAACAGGGCTTTTAGTTCTTCACCATGTCATTTGAAGTATGAACATTTGTAAGATTATTAGTGGTAGAGCCTTATCACAGGGATCCCAAAGTTTGTATTAGTCATTACGGCTGGTTATACTGCCATGCCAGTACCATTTCACATTAAGATATGTAATTTGAGCAGTAGTTATCAAAGCCGGTTTTCACACTGTTCTTAACTGAAGTGGTGGATGGGCTATATAAAACACATTACATAGTGACTTGGAATTATTGCATAGCCAACTGGCATTTAACTGTTGTATACTGGTGTAAATGTATTACCAAAGGAGTTTGATAATGAAAAGATGCAATAGTATCCTTGATGATATCATTGTACATTTTAATGAATTGATTAAACTCAAAAGTCTGATACTTAGACTTGATGTAAAAATAGTTTCCTGACTGGGTTAGGTGAAATGTCTTCCTGTTTTTCAGATGAATGAGGATACAAGTAATGGTGGGAATACAGCACTTGGTGACTCTACTTCTAACCTTAATAAAGATGAAGTAATGAAACTTCTTGGTATATTTGAATCTCGACTATCATTCCTCCTTCTCCAGTCCGTTAAATTGTTATCTTCAACAAAAAAGAAAATTGGGTAAGTTAAAACATATTTAGCTTTCATGATATGCATTTCTAGCTGCATGCATGTATGGCAGTTCCTATTTTAGATACAAACTGTGCATTTTTTTATGTAGCTGTAATACATTTAGACAGTACTGGCCATTTAGATCTTTATGATTTCTTTTTTTGTGTGTGTCCGTAAAACTTGATTAAGCTACATCTCCTTTTTTAAAATACGTATACCAGGCCCTCCAGTCAGATGCAGCTTATAGTCACTCATACCGTGTGTGTGTGTGGGTCCTGGGTATGAATGACCATAAACCACATCCAACTGGAGGATCTGGTGGCAATGTAATGGAGCTACTCATGCTGGGGTAGTTCCTATAAAATACCACAATGTTGCAAACTCCAGAGCAAGGTGAGTATAGGGTGCCTCAAAACCCTAGCCCCCACTGTTTTGTGGGTACTCCTTGATTGGAAAAAAGCTATGGGGGCATTTGTTACATGTTTGCGCTGCAGTGCCAGGCACTTCTAAAATCTTCTGGCACTGTGATGCCTGCAGTTGTATAAACAACGAGATATGCATCAGTGCTGAGAAAATGGCGGTGGCGCGCGTTTGTGCTAAAACCCATTGGAGGTGTTTTAGTTCAAAAGCATGCTGTTGCCGTTTTCTGCACGCTGATGCACATTTTGCCGCTTGTGCAACTGCATGCTTACACAACTGCTTGCTTACCCAACTGCACGGATCTCCGGCGCATCCCAGCCAAAAATATATGTGTATAAGTGCCCTGGGATATCACCCTGACAGAAACACAACCTTGCTGAGACATTAAGCAGTTAGCAGTAGTTCTTATTTATTGCTGGGTAAACTGTCTTTTCTAAAAAATAAAATAAAAATGTAAAGCAATCCTCTGCAGTACACAAACATAGCTCTCTATTGTTTAGAACTACATCTCGTTAGTATACCTGCTTATTCTGAGATTCATAAGACTCAATAAGTCTGGCCTTTGGATTCTGTCTCAGTGGTGTGAAGAGGGGATGGCAGATCTTGGGAAGCCTCCACTCCCCCATATTCTTGCCTAGGCGTATGCATCAAAGTCTTGGTGACTAGATCTCTTAAGCGTACAGCATGGTCCAGAGGATTGGTAGTTGCCTACTACTGTTGTTCAGTGCACTTGATGTAGATACGTTTGTTTTTAACATTGGTAAGCCTACCTTACTTCTGCCTATGGTAAATCATTGCTTGCTGGCACAAATGACTGAAAAGCTATCACAAAGTATTAAATCTTACACATCTGTGAATTAGCAGGTATACTAATGAGATGTAGTTCTAAACCATGAAGAGCTATGTTTGTCTGGGTGAACTATGTCTTTTCTGAAAATTAAATAGAAGCAGAATAAAGGAGCATCTCCTTCCATGTAAGATTTTTCTCTCGCTGCCAGGATTTCATTTAACATAAAAACCTGGCCTCTTACTCTTTCAGTACATGACAACCTTAAGCTGTTCTCCAGATTAAAGTCATGAGAATGTAGTAGTTGCTAACACCATATTTGAACTCTTGGACAGAGATTTAGATACGTTTAATCCTGCCTGGTGTGACCCTGAAAAATATTTTTTACTCCTGTGCTGCAAAAATATGGTGACACCATCAGCACTGACTGTAGACACTAAGGCAGAACAGAGAGCATTAGGGGAAAATAACAGCAAAATCATCCAACCCAAGTCATATTTACAAAAATTCTGTGATGCTGACAGATTGCTTTAGTGATCTGTGCTTTATTAAGTGTTCAGTTAGTGGTAAGATTAAAGTATCTCTGTATTTCAGTGTATAAATACAGTTGTGAAAACTGCAGTGGTTGATGTTGTTCTGTTAAATGAAGTTTATCAAATATGTCCATCCTTCTGAAGAGAAGGTCTCAAAGTAGTTGGGAGGGTTGGGAGAGACTGATCCATGGAACGATAAAGGGCTAGAATAGAACCACTAACTCTGCCTACTTGGCAACAGTTAGGTGTATTTAACTTTTTTCAGAAAGCATCCACAAGATGGCAATATTAATATATGAAATGCTGAGGACCAAAGTATTACCCGTCTCTTTTTAAACAAATTGATATGAAGAGTAATTGACTAACACTAGTAATTGTTTCAGGTTTGTACCCTCATATTTCATAGCCTTGCAGAGGGTATAATGTCATAGACCATTTAAATGTTCTCTTTCCATCCACTATTCTAATCACTGATATTCTGTTTTTAAATTGGTTTTATATTGAAGCTTCTATACATGGTACATAAATTTCAATATAATTAGGTTTTAGCGTTCATTTTTCAAGCACTGCAAAATAAAAGGAAAATGGTGATGTCATAGCATCTTAGTGCAACTGACATGTCTGTTTCATTCAAAAACTATGAAAGCACTTTGAGGTTTAGCTAAATTTCTCTTCCTGTTTAACTGATCAAGGAATATTTGCACATTCAGTTTCTATTTTGTGAGGGGAAGAGGAATGTCTGCCTTCCTCTGCAGTAACTGCTGGCTTGGCTAGGGAGAGAGCTAAGAACTTGCCCTGGCTGCTTCAGGGCTCCGATGCACTTTGTCAAGGGGAATGGAAGAAGCTACCCCCCTTTGAAACAGTACAGCTCACACCAAGAAACTTGCAGCATATCTACAGAATGAGATGAAAGCAGGGCATCATTCTAAAAAGTTAAATGCTTAAGCAGAATTGAATTAAGCTATATAAACTGTGGAGGAAAATAGAAATTCAAAGTAATGTTTAGTGCTGGGCATTCTTGCAATTTATTCTAGAAATACTTCGTTTTTCAGTGGGTTTTTTTATTGCCTGCCTGTTCTCTGCAGTAAATAGACCTGTTGCAGCTTTGTGCCAAGTGTTATAAATTTAATTGCTCCTCTGTTTATTGGCAGTTTCCGAAGCATTTACAAGTATGCTAACTGGCCACTTTTGACAAATATATATGATATGTTTGGGTTTTAGTTTCGGGGCGCTTTTCTGAGTTATTAGGGATTGACTTTTGGATGCAAGTGGTATAAAGCTGTGGAGCCAATAGAGAGATGAAGCTTAGGAGTGATAGGGTTGCAGGAGTATGCTAGGAAAACAACCTTAGCAGCTGTTCTTTGAAAGGATAAATGGTGCCTGATGACCAGGGATCCAGATTTTTCTGTTTCCCATGGAAAAATGGAGAAAACCATGGATTACCTGTTTTTATCGGAGAAAATGCGGATTTCTCTTTTTTAGCAGAGAAATCTGCGAATTCTCCGCTTTTGCAAGGAGCTCTTGTGGCTGGCACAGCTCCAGCCTGCAAGAGCCGATTTGCAAAAAGGGTGGGAAACCCTCAGCCCTGGCCGGAGGGGGAGGGAGGAGGAGGGAGGGCGGGGCCTGAGCCTCCAAGGCAGCCAAGGCCCGGCTCGGGCTCAGGCTCAGACTTGCCCTTCGCCCCTGGAGCACAGAGGCAAGTGGTGCTGTGGGGCAGGGCTGGGGAAGATGGTTGGGCCACCAGGCTTCCCTGTCCCGGCGGAGTGCAGTTTTAGGTCATGCCCAGGACCAGTGAGGCCTTCTCCTTCCCCATAGCCTCACCCTTACCTCCGGGCTGTTCTCACAGCAGCTGCTCCTCTGGGAGATGTTGCTTCCCTGGTGTCTGGTAGCAAACCGCTGCCTCTAGCCCTGCTTGCCTGGGACTTAAAATGGCCACTCATTGGGGCTGGGCTGCACCTGCCTGCTGCCTGATCCAGGTTTTATTGGCAAAGCACTTAAGGTGCTCTGGCACCTACCTTCCGCATTACATCGGTTAGCAGGGAAGACTTTTCCCTGCTGCTCCCAAAAACAGGCTCCCCAGAGCCTGAGATAGCCCTAAAGCACTAGGGGTGTGTGAAATGGGCTATATTTGATTCGGAGTCGGCCCCAATCGGGGACAGCGACTCAATTTGTTGATTCAGATCACTATCCCCAATTTGATTTGGCTGAACCCGCATCTGAAGATTCAATGCTGATTCAAAGAATCAGTGATTCAGCTGTAGACACAGTTTAAAGTTTTTTTTTTCTACATACCTCCCAGGTACCAGGTGTGGCTCATGAACGCTGCGATGCTGGGGCGGATGGAGCATCCCACAGGATGGGGGGGTGCATGGTTAATGGTGAAACCAGAAGTACTTCCGGTCCACTTCCAGGGCTGCTGGGGAGCATGCTGGGGGACCTCCTGCTCTCCCCCCTCCGGCTTGGCAGTTGGCTGCGGGAGACCCTGGGTGCCCCCCCAGACCTAGTAGGCACCAGTCGCTGAGCTGGGGAGTGGCATGTGCTCCCCAGTGGACTGGAAGTGCTTCTGATCTACTTCTGGGTCTGCTGCTGAGCGCGCTGGGGAGCCCCCTGCACTCCTGTGGGACGCTCCATCCACCCCAGCATCACAGCATTGACCGGCAGGCCACCTGGTACCTTGAAGTATGCAGAAAAAACATTTAAAGCTGTCTGTATCCGAATTGCTGCATCTTTCTGAATGATTCAGAGGGTTCTGATTCGATTTGCAGAGATTAAAGGGTCTCCTGATTAGATTCGGATTCGGGCCGAATTTCCACCAAATCAAATTGGGGACCGAAGCTTCGCATAGCCGTAGCGTGCACCCCACTGGAGCTCTGCCACACTGACCAATGATTATCTAGCATCTTAAACTCCAGTGAAGCACATGCCAAACCTGCCATAGGCAATCTATTCTACTGCAACTATTCTAACAGCAGAGTTTTTCCTGATGTCGAGTCTAAACCCACTTTGCATCAATTTCAAGCTATTATTATAAGCCCTACTTTCTGCAGTGAGAGAAAAAAAATGTCTCCCTCCCTTTTTTTATCACTGCCCTTCAGATATTTGAAGATTGCTGTCATATTCCCTCTGGAAGAAGAAAGTATATAATCAACAGCCTGGATATGGGACTTTAGAGAGTTGGCAAAGTTCAAGATGACCAGATTTTAGGCTTGAGAACTTAGGAGATACCTGTGGTGACTAAGAAAGAAGACTGATAAAACCGCTTGTGTAGGAAAAGATTAAGAGTTGTTATGGACATCAGTTTAAGCCCACTATAGCCAAGAGGAAATGTCAGCAATAGACTGAGACATCAGGTTGGACAGAAGATTGTTTGGCATAGAGAAAAATTCACCAGGGAGTCAGAGAGAATATATTCAGTCAGGTTTGTGAGTAAGTTTTCCCAGGTTGAGTCTGTGAGACCATGAGGAATGGAGCCTTGTGAGATTGCTGTCAAAAGCTAGAGCAGAAATAAGGAGGATAATCTGATTTTTCCCCCCTCCCCCCTTAAAAAAAAAACCCAAAAAACAAAGTTTAAGGAAGGATTCCAGATATAAGAGGAGAGCTAGGAGTCATGGAAGCAAAGATAAGGCAAGATTTCACGAAGAAATGGTGTATTCAGTTAATGTTTTGTTCAAGAGTATTTTGAAGATACACTCATTCTTGGGTTTTGGCGTTACAGTTCATGTGACCCATCTTTTCTTTTTCAGTGGCAGTAATGAAGAGGAGGAAGTTCTTAAGACCAACAAGGAAGTTTATTCCCTTCTCTTGCGTGCGACTGCTGACAAAAGTGTGACTCTGCTAGAACGAATAGAAGTAATTTTAACTTTATTGGAACAGCTGACTCGGAACACTGAAACCAATAATACAGGAATTCAGTGACTTACTAAATACAAAAACAGCTACAAGGTAGCAGAAATAATATTGGTGCCTTGCTTAACATGGGATCAGCAGCTCTGTGTCATGTGGTACTTACTCTCTTCAACTTCAGTAAATCTATTTATAACATGGTAGACCTGGGAAAGAAGAGGAATGCATTGCTATCCCATGACAGTGCAATTATGATCAGATTCTAATGTGTCTACATTTGAAGTGCTAAAATGGGAATCTAGAGGTAGAGCTTCCAGTTTCTTATGGTTGAGAAGTGCAGTTTCTCTGAAAAGTGATGGGCTTTTCAGTGGTGCAAAATAAATGTTTTGCATAAAAATATGTTATAGATCGGTTCGATATTTTTTGAATGAAATGTTACTTTGTAAGCAAAGCTTTATAAGAAGTCTTTTACCAGTAACATTCATGGAAATTGCACAAGGGGATTTCCCTTGCATATATCAATGTTTTCTTTTTAGTAAGAGTTAATACCATGCACAAGAATGTGTGCCTTTTTTAGCTTCAGTGCAACACTTTTCACAGATATTAGCCATTGCTGGAATGTCATTTATACCAGAAGTGAAACTGTTTTAGCTCTATTTTGATTTATTCAATCAGGAATAATATTACCCCTCTTTTTCAAACTTGAAACTGTGAATAAATGATAAACATATTTTAAAAAGAAATTTATTTATTAAAAAAATATGGTTACAGATTTGAGTCTGCATTTTTATTGGTTGCTGTTTCATGTTTGAGAGACAAAATCTCCTAATCATGTTGAGAAAGCATTGAAGGATAAGAGCCTCTCTTTAAAGATGTAGTTCCCATTGATATCACATGGAAATGTTGTAATTGGACTTTAGTCTTAGCTTAATACGTGAGGACTTTAAATATGTAGGTACTTTATCCAGGGAATTAAGGTAAATATTCAGAAAGATGAGTTCAGCTATATTAGTGTTGCTCTAAAAATTTAAAAGTATTGCAACTATATCGGCAATAATGAACTGTCCTCTTATACATAGGAAGTACTGCATTTAGGTTTATTTTCTTGAATAGTTAGACAACTTGGATCCCTGATGATGTTTCCCACGGAAAACGGAGAAAACCATGGATTTCCTAGTTTTATCAAAGAAAACGCAGATTTTCTCTTTTAGCAGAGAAGCTGAGTTCCAGCCTGCAAGAGCTGTTTGCAAAAAGGGCAGGAAAGCCCCAACCCTGCCCACAGTGGGAAGCGCAGAGCCTGTGGCTTTTAGTTGGTCACAAGGCCTAAGTCAGGCTCACTTTCTTCCTGGAGCCTGTGAACTGGTAAGTGGGGCTTGGGGCTGGGGGGTTGCGAGGCAGGGCTAGGGTGGAAGCTGGCTGGGAGGTGTTGGGGAAATACACGGAGTGCCTGGCTGGTGCCTCCATGTACGGCTTTCCTTAAGGCTTGCTAGAGCTGCTTAGGTTTCAGGTGCTGTCCTGCCGGCACTCCAGCCATGAGTGGGGAGGTGTTGGGGAAATATATGGAGTGCCCGGCGAGCTCCACATCTTGTCCCCGCCGGCAGCCAGAGTGTCTGGCTGGGGGCAGGTGAAACTGAAGCGGCTCTAGCAGCCCTTAAGGGAAAGCCTCACGTGGAGGAGCCAGCTGGGCATTCAGTGTTGTTCACTCTAAGGGGGCAAGGGGAACCTGTGCCCCCAGATCTGTAGAGGGGCTGTCTGTGGGCTTGAGCTCCCTCTCTGCTTCCCTCCTTCAGGACCATTGTAGCCCTGCAGGGAAGACCCGCCATGGCTGGGAACAGCAGGGCTGTGCTGGGATCTTTGCCTCCCCACTACACCTCCTGCTGCTCTGAGTGGTGGAGCCCCATGCCACTTCCCTCAGTGCAGCCACACGTGCAGGAGGTATATTGCTGGGGCAGTGCGGAGTGAGCAGCTGCTAGGAGATAGCTGCGCAGCTCCTCTGTCCCCAGCCATGCCGGTTTGCGGGGAGGGGAGCAGGGCGACCTGGTGTGGCTGGGGACAAGAGCTGTGTGGGGATTGCCTAGCGGCTGCTTGCTCCATGCTGCCCCAGTGATGTACCTCCTGCATGTGGGGCTGCACTGAGGGAAGCGGCGCAGGGCTCTGCCACTCAGAGCAGCAGGAGGTGTGGCGGGGAGGCAAGGAGATCCTGGCATGGCCCCACTGTTCCCAGCCGTGCCAGGTCTTGCCTGTGGAGCTACAGCGGTCCCGTGGGAGGGAAGCAGGAAGGGAGCTCAAGCCCACAGCCTGCCCCCTGTACAGATCTGGGGGCATGGGTCCCCCTTGCTCCCTGGGAGTGTGCACGGCCACTGGGAGCCAGCCCCACCCCTGCCCAAATCAGCAGCAGACAGCAGCAGCAGGGGAGCCAGCTATGTGCTCCTGCTCCAGCTGCCTTCTGTTGGGGGCAGGGAGCTGTGGACCTGGGTCCCTGGTCCCATAGCCCTGACAGCTGGGGGCCCCTTCTGGCAGGGCAAGGGGGCGGAGGCCATAGGTGGGGGGCAAGGGGCATAAGCAGGGCTGGGGGCTGTTGTGGGGGCAAAGAGGAGCATCAGCAGGGCTGGGGGGAAAGTGAGGGGCACCAGCAGGGCCATGGGGGGCCTTTAATTTTAATCACGGATTTTTGGGTTTTTATCAGACAATTTGCTTTTTTTTTTTTTTTTAAATCATGGAAAACCAGGATCCCTGGTTATCATGTTCCTAACTCCCTTGTGTGGAAATAAGATGTGGAAACCCTGTCTGGTTTTGTTTAAGTAAAAGTTACACAAGTTAAACTGTAGGATAG